CTGCTACTTAGCGCCACCCGCCTTCTTCGTCTTATTCAGCTGCTGCTTCTTCTTCTACTTTGGCGCAGGTGGGCGTGGCACCGTCACAGAAAGGACACCTCCTCACGCTCCTTAGAGTTTGAGTTTGAGTTTGAGTTTTGACTTTTGCACCGTGCGTTGCCTCCTGCTTTTTGGGGACAAGTGTGTGTGTGTACGGTTGAGTTTGAGTGTGAATGTGAATGTGAATGTGACTGAGTGGTTGTTGTGGGTGGATCAAAACCCCCAACCCTCAACACCTCCCCTCTGAGAGGGGTGTGCATGTGCGTGTGCGACTGGCACTTTAATCAGCAATGCCATTTGCTGCTGCCTTGCCTTGCCTGGCTTGCTACTTCTGCACAAGGATAACCAAGGATCCAGCGAGAGGAGCAGGTGTCCCTCGTAGGCCAGCAATGCGAGAGAAAGGGGAGCAAGTACCAAGTACAAGTAAAAAAAATAAAGAAAAAAAAGGGGGAGCATTTCGCACATAACACTTCCCGGGGGCAATAAAGTCGCGCATATTTATAAGCCGGCGCGGCTGTCTCTCGATTTCCATCTAGGCGCTGCTTTATGCCAGCTTTTATGGCCAGTCGAATGTATCGAAGGCACTTGCCACTTGCCACTCTGCCATATTCCCCCACTTTGCACTCCATCCATCCAACATTCGACAATGACATCCTGCGAAACAGAAAAAAAACACAGCCACCTCCTGGCCAGATCTTCTTCGTCAGCTGCGCCGCATTTATTTCGCATTTGCCATTTTATTGCGCAAAATTGAAGGCGCACTTTATTGCCGACTGGATTTTTGGCATAAACAGAATTTATGCATATACAATATACTCACAAAAAAATACAAGAAACAACCAAAAAATTTGCCCCCGGACGTGACGAACTCTTCGTCCTGGATCCTGGACAGCAAAAAAAAAAAACACCCGGGTAGCAAAAGTTTTTAATTTGCTTAGACGCGACGGCAAGTCTGAGGCTCGGCTAGAGCGTCTAACTTGGAACTTGAAGAGGCTCGAGCCCTGGGTCCTAGGAGACTTTGGGACTAGGCTATATAGCCTTGCCAGCTTAAAGCAGATTAAATTATCGCATTTTTCTTGGGATCCAGCTCCTGGTCCTGCTCCTCCCGGCTGATTCGATTTTTTGTGCCAAGTCTCAAAATATAAAGAAAAGAGCAGCAGAAAAAGAAAAGAAAGGCAAGCAACAACCCGACGAAAAGCAAAATCGTTGGGCAAGGCGGCAAAAGTTCGAATAAATTGAGTGAAAGTTTGCATTTGCCTTAAACATTTTCGTTTCGTTTTGGGTTTTTCTTTTCTTTCTCCTATTTTATTTATTTTTTTTTAGGCAGCACATGGAATCAACTTGAAAATTTATGTTCCCTATTGGCCCAGGTGTGGATGGCTTTCATCTTTTCACATTTTTCTCGTCGAGTCTGGGGGCTATGAGCATTTTTGTTTAGCAAAAAGTTTGTTCACGAGGATCGAATTTAGGCTGTTTGTTTTAAAATTATATTGATTTTTATGTATATATATAAATATCCTTTAAGATTGCTTCAAATCTTATTAGTTTTGCTTGACTTTGTTACAAGTTTTTTTGGGGTTTAAGTTTACTTTAAGGGTAAAACTAAGGTTTTACTTTGAGAATTTTATTTAAAACTTGATAATATTTAATTAAAATTTATAGAAAAATGTGCGGAGTTAATTTTTCTTAAAATAAAAGTAGTTTTCTTGGAAATTTGCACCACTTTCAGAAAAGATTTCCTTAAATTGTGACTTTACTTAGGAGGTTACTTCACTTTCACCTGACATATACTTAATTTATTATGTATTTTATGTATAAGCCACAATTTTCTTCAATTTTTATTTTAACTCTTTTGATTTAATAAAAATTCTTTCAAATATTGTTAAATAATATCCTTGTTTTGTATTTTTTTATAAATTCATATTTTCTTGTTAGATTTAGGTATAAATAAAGTACAAATTGAAACATGTTGCCCTATTTGAAGACTCTTGTTACTTTAATTGTTATATTCCTGGTGGCAGCAGCAACAGTCTCAAGGCACACACGCACACACACGCACACACTCACACACTCACACACACACCCGCTGGAAACTTACTAATTGAATTATTGTGCCCCGAAAAATATGCTACGTTCTTGCAGTTGCAAACGAATCAATTCACTTTTCCAGTTGGCATCTCACTTTTCATTGTTTACATTTTCACTAGTTGTATTTTCTTCGTTTTCTAGTTTTTTCTTTTATATTTTTGTATTTTCTTTTTTTTCCGTCAATTGAGAATCGAAAAACCCAAAAAAAAATCCAAAACAGAGAGAACTCTGAGTGTTGCACTCAGACGTGTAACCGAAAAAAAACCAACAAGAACAACAATAACAACACGGATGCAATTTCGCGGCGCGTTTTTGATTTCGCTTTCGCTACCGACACTCGTTGAGCGCGGGGAGGGGTGTAGGTGGAGGGTGTAGAGCGGAGGGGAAGACGAGAACGAAGGCGATCCAACTGATATATATATATATATATATATATATCACGTATCCGCCACGTATAACAAACGAAACGAACGCGCAAGCCGTTTAACTGACCAGTCTCAGTGGTTCGCTTAATGGCAATGTCAACTGCAATTTCGAATGCGATTCGAATCGAAGTGAAGCGTTGTGATGCGAAGCGAATCGAATCGAATCAAATTTCGAGTAATTTCGAGTCTCTGTCCGCGTGCACAAACCACAGCGACTGATATCCCAAATGAAACTGAACGGTGGCGAGCCGAACGCACTCGAAACTCGGCCAATGACTCGCTGTCTGCCGAACCGTTTGCCGAACCCTCAGCCTTTGGCTTCCACACACACAGACACACACAGACACACAGACACACGCAACACAACACCCCCGCCGCCCAACGAGTTGCACCTTTCGCAGGTCGCACGAACGCCTCACCCGCTCGTCCTTTTTTGCCATTCGGCTCAGCCGCTTCCGTTTCCCGGCCGACGATGCCGCTTTTGGGTGCTTAACTTCGGCTTTTCACCCTGCGGACCTCGGACCAGGGGATGCGCAGGCGCAAAAGTGCTCGCTGTGGAACGCATTTGTGGATGGTGTTTGTATCGGAGATGAGAAGTTTTGATATATGTATATCTTTGGATAGTGAAAGTTATTAAGTATAAAAGTTGTTATTGATTAGGGAAAAGGATAAAAATGATAACAATTATTCCTATAAGCGTCTGGCTCTCAGAAATTAATATTCAGTAAGTAAATAATATTTAATTATACTCTTAAGTACATTAATTAATTATTATTACTTATCAGTAAGTATTATTGATTAGGAAAAAGAATAATGCCAAGTCCATCTTTTTTAGCTTTCGGAAATTAATATTTTGTAAGCAAAAACAATATTAAATTATACTTTTAAGTTCAATTAATTGATTACATTGGATTTGAGGGTTCATAAACATATAATTAATTAATAATTATTATGGTTTAGGGAAAAGAATAATAACAAGTCAATTTACTTGACTATCTTTAAAAGCCTTTAGCTTTCAGAAATTAACATTCCTTAAGCGAAATAATATTTAATTATACTTTTAAGTACAATTAATTGAAAAATATGGGATCTTGAAAGTACCTAAGTATATAAAATTTAATTATTATTTTGGAAGAGGGAAATGGATAGTGACAAGACCGTTTTTCGCCTGTCTTTAAGGGTCTCCAGCTTTCACAAACTAATGTTTCATAAGCTAAATAATATTTAATTATACGTTTAAATACAAATAATTGATAAACACCTTAGTTATTAAATAATAAACTTGAAATTTCAAAGATTCATTTACACTTTCTCATATTTATTTTTTAATTTAACAATTTACATTAAAAACTTACTTCTTGTAGTATAAAATTTCACTTACAATCCACTTTTTCCTTCAGGTTCTTGCCATCTCTGACGCTTCCCCTGGTGGACTCCATTTGTCGTAAAACGTGCGGCTCGTGCAATGCCTGCAAGCGACAGGACAATCGGTGGCCGAAAGGCTCACAAGCGCTGCAATTGCAAAATGCAGCCACGAAGGATCCTTCGTCACGATATGATATTGACGAAGACAAAAGTCGCGACTGCCTGCTGTTGCTCCTGATGCTGCTGCTCCGTCTCCTCCTGCCTCCTGTCTCCGGCTGCTCCTGCTCCTGCTCCTGCTCGTCCTCATCCTGCTCCTGATGCTGCCGCCGGACAAGTTCAAGGGAATTCCGCGCGACAAATACATTACACACGCACCGCCAGCGCGAGTGCAGGCAAATTAAGCTGACAGCCACAGAGACCAGGCGGGCATCCCACTGCCCATTCCTCCCCCATCTCGAGTCCTGCCAATGCGACTGCATCTTGAACTCGGCCAGTGTGTCACCATGCTCTGGGTATTTTTCTTAACCGCTTAAGAATGCCGAGGGAATAGGAATTTACAAGGCTTTAAGCGTATTAGCTAAGCAATAAGCTTAAAGAGGTTGCTCTAATTTTCAAGTTATTGAAGAAATACAGAGTGGAGATATCAGTGTTTTCTAATTGTATGCAGAAACCTCTTTTGAATTAGTATATATATATATATGTATAGTTCCTGTCAATCGTTTGGAATATTCAAAACCTTCTAGTTTTTAAGTATTAAAAGCATATAATTTGAACTGTTAAAAGTTAAAAGATACAAGATACTAACAAAAGATACAATTTCTTTAATATAATTTTTCTACCACTATTTTTCGACCCTTCTCCTCCTTTCAAAATACTTGATATCTTAACATTATACTAACATAGTATATATGTTAGTATATTAGTTAAATCAAGTATAACTCCTAATGTCTTTGTTTAAGTTATCACATCTGAATATATCTTTAAATATCTTATACTTTCAACAACTTCATCATCTTCTTTCGTGTCTATATTTGTATTTATATCTCCAATTTTATGTGGATCTTTGTCTTTTGACTTTAAACCAAGTCCAGAAAGTGGCTTTAATTTATTCTGAGCCACTCTGAATATATTTTGTTGCATCACACCGATAACCAACGATTAACACAGATTCGTGCAATCGCTGCGCATTGCACTTTGCTGACTTTGCTTTACTTTTGGCCTGACTTTTCACAAGGACTCCAATTTGAATTTGGTGGGGAAATCTCTTATGGCTGCTCACTTCAACGGGTTTCCTTCAAGCCATGTTGCAGGCTGCTCCTGCTGCTGCTGCATGTTTCTCGATGTTGCTGCATGTTGCGGTTGGCTGTCCTAAGCCCTTTGCACTTACTTCGCTCGGTTCGCGCATCGTCAAGCAGCATCATCAAGTTGATTTTGCCACCACCCAGCCGCCCCTTGTGTTCCCTACCGGAAGTTGTCATTAAAATATTGCACTCAGCCACCCAAAACGACAGTGCGAGAGAGGGGGAGAGAGAGAAAGTGCAACTCTGTTGCATGCAGGTAGGGGAAAAGAGCGCCAAAAAAGGTGGGGTAACGTGGCATAAAAAGTGCAACAATATCGAGGCAAAGTTTCTGCATTTATGGGAGGCCGCACAGCAGCAGCTGCAATGAATTCAGTGACAGTGTCCTTCGGCATTCGCTTTGGGGGAACGTTGCTACATCTTGGACGTTGCCACTTGAAGCTGACAGCCAAATCGCAGCAGTATCCTCTATGAGCCATTAAAGTCTCATTTAAATCAAGGAGGGAGCAGCAGTCCGACAGGCGTCCGCCATTGCCATCGAGAGTTGCTACGTACTATATAGTATGTACTATGTAAGTAGTTATGTCCTTGCTGTTAAGGATACACGAAATACACTAGACGAGGGTCCTGGGACTTTTGAATTCCCTTTTAGACTAAAGAAAGATCATTGATTTAGATTAAGAAGCTTTAATAAACTCGACCAAGTTCTTCCTTTGATTATAATAATATTTAATTAAAGACTGCTTAGTATTTAATGCTCATCTTTATGGTAATCAATGAAACTAAACCCGGGAGCAATTGATCCTGCCGGGGGTTAAGTGTATCCTTTGCTGCGGACGCCACTGCAGCCTCTTGCTGCCTTGTTCCTGTAAGGGCTTTTGTTCCCTCACTGGTTGCTACTGCTACTGCTGCTGCTGTTGCTTATCCGCCGAGCACGGATCCAGGCAGCCATTGTCCTGGCCGCCTCCTTTGTCTTAGTGCAACAGCCACGAAATGCAACTGCGACGGCCAGGTGGACTTGGTTGTGGGGTTTAAGAAGATGGTTAGATAGGTACGCGCGGCATTGTCAGTGACGACGTTCACCTGAACGCCTACTATACAGCCAAGATTCCCCCATTCCTGATCCAAGTCCTATAATAATGTCTTCGCCGAGTCTGGGGTTTCTACACGCAGAGCCAGAACTTGTGGCAAATTGGTAAGGTATTGTCTCAAAATTCTTAAGCCTAACTTGGAGATATTTGCTGAGTTTGTGTGAGTATATTAAAGCAATATAAGTACCACCATAATTCATAGGTAATATAACTTAGTTGCTGGTACCTTTTTTCTTACAGTGCCACTGCGAAAAGACTGAGCTACGTTTAGCTCCTTACGATGCTGCCTTTCAGCTCAAGTAAAATAAAATACAATTTATTTGTATATTGTTTTGCTGTTGACAATTGCGCGACTGCAGAGCGCAACTTTTTGGCTGGCTGCAAAAGCGGGGAAAAAGGAGTAAATGTGTGCACTATGGGGAGATATAACCGGTTTCTTCAAAGATATTGATATGAAACATTATCAATTGGTGTTTTGCTATTGCAATAAATACAGGAAAATAGGGAAACAAAGACTTAGGAGGAAGAACAGGACCTTTAAAGCTCAGCAAGCGATTGCAGACTTTGCCATCTTTAATCTGTAGAAGCTGATGAAAACAAGTTAGTATAGTTTTGAAAAATTATGATAGATTAAAGACAGGATGACGAGATATAGAAGAAGTTATAAGAAAGCCCCAGAAGTACTTGAAAATATATGTAATAAGTATGCAGCAGTTACAGAGCAAAAGATCCTGAAAACAGAGAAAAAGATGCCTTCAAATACTTCTTCACTCTTATATATTTATAAATTATCATAATATAAGGGAGTTTAAAGCCCATAAAACCTTCTCTTAACCTAGAATCCTTCCTACACACTAACTTCCCTTAAAACTCCTTTTCTAGAGCCTGAAATCACATCTAGTGTAATTTTCTGTTCCTACAGCATAAATTGTACAAGAATGTACTCCCATAAACTGATA